GATTTACTCAAATGCCTTATATCTCTTCAACCATACAATTATTTCATGTGTCTTGACAATGATGAAAAATGAAAAATGCCTTTCGACATTTCTGCACAACTGAGAAGGACCCTTCACCTTGTTTAGCATGAAAATGATAAATGCAAAGGTGAATCTTTGGCCTGGAGAAGAAGATTGAGGAAACTCACAGACAGAGCTGATAATTCCATTTTTATTAGTTATAAACTGAACGCATTTCCCAAGGCTATACTCAGTTCAAACTGCTAAAATTATACCCAATGATGATATTTCTTAAATAATAACAGTGTATCATTCTTAATATTTAGTTTGAAACAAGTTACACAAGTTGGAAGAGACAACAAATTCAAACATCAGTCTTAAGAGTCTTAAATCTTTCCTTTGTGTGATTATATACATCGTACAAACTTTTTTCTATCACTGTAAATGAATCAAAAAGAGAGGGGCTATGAATTTCATGAAATTGAATTAAATGAAAAATGCTAATTTAATTGAGAAATAGTAATTAATATTCTCTGATTCAGAATAAATAAAATTACATCTCATTGCCATGACCTGTAGGTTTATCTAACTGCAAGGTGATCTAACTATATTTGTCAGAATATTCTCTTCCCATTAACTTCACAGAAGTCTGTTACTTTGGAAAGATGCTATAAAAAAGTTACTGATGATACAGATCAAATGCTATTTTTAAAAGTTTATAAAATATAATACATTATATTTTAGTTCATTTTCTATTGCAGTCAACAAAATACTTGGGACTGGGTTAGGTAGAAAGAAAAAGATTGAAGACGTGTACAGCTTTGAAGGCATGGAAGTTCAAGATCAAGAGGCTGCCTGGATTCAGGGCTTCATGCTGCATTTTAGCATGACAGATAGTATCCCATAGAAGGAAGTGAGGCAGCAACCTGAGAGAGCCAAATTTGATTTTAGCAACCCACTCTTGAGATCAATAATCCATTGTCAAGAGACCTAACCTGCTTTTGCATGATTAGCATTTATCATTTCTGAAGGTGGTCCCTCCTCGTCTTAATCACCTCCCATTAATCCCACCTCTTAGATGTCCCACCATCTCTCACTACCGAGACCCTGGGGACCAGTTTCCAGCACAGAAACCCCAACACACACCATGGCACATGTCTAGGAAGCTCCTGAGCATAGATGTACAGTTTAACCATTAAAAAGCCAAACCCTTGGGGCGAGGATTTAGCTCAGCGGTTTGGTAGCCTGCCTTGTAAGCGCAAGGACTTGAATTCAATCCCTGGTAAAAAAAAAAAAAAAAAAAAAAAAAAAAAC